CACGGCGAGAAGGCAGACGCGGGCGATCAGCGGACGAGTTGCAACGGGTAGTGAAGCGATTTAGTATCATCTTAATTATGTAGAATGTAGTATAGTACTACTCACTTCGCACAATTCGCGCTGCAATTTTTCCACTGACCCCTCTGCATCTCTATCCTCTCGCCGTGCTACGGGCCTCCTGTCGGGTATGCTGTCCATTCAGTGTACACCCATGTCTTCTGGCATTTATGGCATTAAGCATAGAAAACCTTGACTATGTAAGCAACCCACAGTATTGTTCCAGAAAACGCAAACAAATGCAGCTGTGACATTGAATGTGATCTGATAGACTATGAGACGCAAGTCAGCTACTCGGACTTGGCGATCAGCTCAATCCAGCAGAGGATCCCGCTCTCGGAGCCATACATTCAGTGAGTTTCACGTTCTATCAGTGCACATGCCTATCAGCGCCACGGGTAATGACCAGGCTGATATAGCTTCGCAACACTTGCTACCGTATGAATTTGCTGTAATTTCTCCGCCAAGCTTCAGATTTGCCTGCAAAGCTCAAAGGCAGCTCTGAGATAAACTGATACCGTCAAAATTTGGGAGTAAACGTGCGTCTTTGAAAAAACACCAAGCGAACCTGTCGAATACCTAAGAAACGCACTCTTCTCTCCCCCATTCTATTGAGAGTGGACGAGTTTATCACTAGTGTAGAGATTATTTGGATGAAGTAAGTACATTATGGCCACAGAAATCAGACCGTTGCTTCGATGACCGTTGCAAGTGTGCAGTTATGGTTAGAAAATAGAATCGAATGATGACGGTGGCTGTTTCTTCAAATGCCACTACTGTCGCTTCCACACGCCAGCGGTGGGTGTGTCTGGGAACTGGAGGAGCTTCTGAGACACTTCCAGCACCTTCCCACGCCACTGATAGCGCGAAAGCGCCACCTGCTGTCTGTATGGACTTTCCTCCTTCCTCTCCGCTAACCATTTTTCTCTCATGATTATCCATTTGGAAGCCATTTTTGTCTTAAAGTGCCACAGTCACTCTTGACTTTTGATAACTAAAATAGAAACTAAACAGCGCCCGTTTGCCCGTTATACACAGGCGCGGTCACAGAAGCGAGCTTCTTCACCAGACAGCCGGCGAATTTCGCTTTCCAGCTTCTGCAGTGATTCATTTATTTCAGAGGAAATATTTCCGCAGTGAACATCTTCTTTCGAAGCACAGCCTATGAGCGCCATGAGCAACAGAAGCAGCTACAAACTGCTGATTTGCTATCGAATATTGCTGGAAGCATGGGATTGTTCCTCGGCATGAGCACAGTTGGTAGTGTTTTCTTGAATGCCATGAATTCCTACGATTACCTAGGTTTTCTTCAGGTGACTCTGCTCGAGATTTTCATTTATTTGTTCAAATCTGTCTGGGGTACGGTGAATACGGAACGACAGAAGCAGTTCATGGAAGCGATGATGGAAGAAGAGAACGAACGACGGCAGAGCCTCGGTTATTGTGGAAGAACCGCATCGAAAGGTAGTGTGATGCTCTTGAATAAGCTCAGACTCACATGTCGTCCTGTCACTGCCAGATCTTGGCAGGTAACACACACAAGATCTATGGGCACAATAACCTACGTGATATTACGGGCAAAAAAGTCAGGCGCTACACGTAGCCTGTTTGCAAGGAACACGGCCAGGGCTATAGTCCTCATCCGAGCACGCACCCATCCAACGCCCAGGTTTTTTAGTACTCTTCAGATTTGTTCCACTCGCAGGCATAAGCTGACGTTCAGAATTCACATGAAATTCCGTTACTTCAGTGTCAGCCAAGTCTTTCATTCCTCCATCGGCTATCCACTGGTCTCTGTGAAGCATTGGTGGGGAGGGGGGGGGGGCAGTTTTCCGTTATTTGTTTCAGTGTAGAGCTGCAACCTTCAGGGGACATTGCTTTATCCAGAAATATTGGCCGAACGTTCCTTTAGTGCGGATATCCCGACATGGGTACATCCACAAATTAGCGATAGGTAATACAGGATACGATTTGGTAAGGCTCCGCCCAACCTTCGTTCCATCCTTTTGGAGCGATTTCTCGGCGCAACTCTCCCTGGAGAATATAGAAATTACAATGACTAACTTGCTTCTCGCCGGTCGCCGCAATTCACTGCTAGGCCGAATCGCACCCGAAAGTCACCGCATTTCTGAAGGGAATCTGAAAAGCACGGCGCATCTCCAAAAGGGTTGATCAAGCTTATGTGCTTCACACTTGAACGTTCTATTCCTTTATTCTTTAGCTTTCCACAAGCGAAGAACCAGCTGATGATGGCGCTGGGCATTCTCACAAACGACCTTCGCGAAGAATTTCTGTTGTACCCCTCCACATTCACATGGACAAAAGAGGAAGCACCAATGTGAGTTGCAATGATAAAATTTTACGAATTCGAGATTCACGACAGCTTGGAATCCTTAAGACGATGAGGTTTCTCAACGAGCGTACGAAACATCGCGAGAATTTTGGCAAAGAGCTGTCGCGGGACTTCCTCCAATGCGCACGTTGACTCTTGCCACTTTCATGTCTCATGTCCTCGCGCTCTCTCATGCCAAGCGCACGTTGTTGGTAAATCCTCGAAGAGGAGGGGAGACGAGGAGAGCGTCGCAATAGAGTTGCCGTAGCCACTAGTTGTCGATAGCCCGCCTAAGGTATATTTAACCCTTTCCGGACCGCCTGACACCCATGGGGTGTCAGGGACTTCAAGAGGTGATTTTTCGGTTTTTCGACAAGGTGTTTTATGTTATTAATTATCTATGTAACATACTCATATCGTACGTATGAAAAAACCTGAACTTCAATCTCAAACTTGCTCCTAAAACATCTGAAAACTAAATGAACTTCCACTTTGAGTTCAAAGAAAACAATTATAATTTATTTGAAAACACTTCATACAAAATATTCTATACACACCAGACACCTTATCCTGAAAGCTATTTATCTCGACAAGTTAGGCTTGCGACCTCTCTTTCTGGTACGTTTTTCCCATAACTAAACTTGTTTTGAACAATTCTCATTCCTTACCTCCCTTTTCACCTTTATTACATGACGGTTTCCTGTCATATTCACATATATGTGCCTTTAAACATCGCAACATACAAGAACGAGGCAAAATAATGGTTTTAATGAAAATACAGGTGAAATATATAGTATTTATGCTCGCCGAGCAGCCCGCGGCGACAAAAGGCATCGATCACACCGCCCGCCACGAGGAAAGTGCGCGGTTTGGAAAGGGTTAAACCGCAACTTGCCACACGAACTTGAGTGCAAATGCATTAATTCTCCGGGTAAGTGCCATGTGCTCAGTCCCCATATACAATGGAGTGTGAGCTTGAGAGACATCGAGGTTCCAGAAAGGACGCCGTGTCATTGCCCGTGTTGATCACACGCAGTTTGTGCTGCGAGTGCCGTGCCATCTCCACGGCTGGATTGCCAGTAGCTCAGTGGTGCCAGGAGTTTCAGCGCTTCGTTATCAGCTTTAAGGGTCGTGAATGTTTGAAGACTCTCCTATGCCGTGTCATTGCCCGTGTTGATCACACGCAGTTTGTGCTGCGAGTGCCGTGCCATCTCCACGGCTGGATTACCAGTAGCTCAGTGGTGCCAGGAGTTCAGCGCTTCTATCAGCTTTAAGGGTCGTGAATGTTCAAGACTCTCCTATGCCGTGTCATTGCCCGTGTTGATCACACGCAGTTTGTGCTGCGAGTGCGTGTGCCATCTCCACGGCTGGATTACCAGTAAGCAATTCGAGGGTGGGCCAGGAGTTCAGCGCTTCTATCAGCTTTAAGGGTCGTGAATGTTTGAAACTCTCCTATGCCGTGTCATTGCCCGTGTTGATCACACGTAGTTTGTGCTGCGAGTGCCGTGCCATCTCCACGGCTGGATTACCAGTAGCTCAGTGGTGCCAGGAGTTCAGCGCTTCCATCAGCTTTACCGGTCGTGAATGTTCAAGACTCTCGCTATGCCGTGTCATTGCCCGTGTTGATCCCACGTAGTTTTGTGCTGCGAGTGCCGTGCCATCTCACGGCTGGATTACCAGTAGCTCAGTGGTGCCAGGAGTTCAGCGCTTCTATCAGCTTTAAGGGTCGTGAATGTTTGAAACTCTCCTATGCCGTGTCATTGCCCGTGTTGATCACACGCAGTTTGTGCTGCGAGTGCCGTGCCATCTCCACGGCTGGATTACCAGTAGCTCAGTGGTGCCAGGAGTTCAGCGCTTCCATCAGCTTTACCGGTCGTGAATGTTCAAGACTCTCCTATGCCGTGTCATTGCCCGTGTTGATCACACGCAGTTTGTGCTGCGAGTGCCGTGCCATCTCCACGGCTGGATTACCAGTAGCTCAGTGGTGCCAGGAGTTCAGCGCTTCCATCAGCTTAACCCCTCGTGAATGTCAAAGACCCTCCTATATTGTCGGCCTGTGTTCTATGGCCGTCTGTGTTGATCACACGTAGTCTTGTGCTGCGAGTGCCGTGCCATCTCCACGGCTGGATTACCAGTAGCTCAGTGGTGCCAGGAGTTCAGCGCTTCCATCAGCTTTACCCCTCGTGAATGTTCAAGACTCTCCTATGCCGTGTCATTGCCCGTGTTGATCACACGTAGTTTGTGCTGCGAGTGCCGTGCCATCTCCACGGCTGGATTACCAGTAGCTCAGTGGTGCCAGGAGTTCAGCGCTTCTATCAGCTTTAAGGTCGTGAATGTTCAAGACTCCTATGCCGTGTCATTGCCCGTGTTGATCACACGTAGTTTGTGCTGCGAGTGCCGTGCCATCTCCACGGCTGGATTACCAGTAGCTCAGTGGTGCCAGGAGTTCAGCGCTTCTATCAGCTTTAAGGGTCGTGAATGTTTGAAACTCTCCTATGCCGTGTCATTGCCCGTGTTGATCACACGCAGTTTGTGCTGCGAGTGCCGTGCCATCTCCACGGCTGGATTGCCAGTAGCTCAGTGGTGCCAGGAGTTCAGCGCTTCCATCAGCTTTAACCCCTCGTGAATGTTCAAGACCCTCCTATGCCGTGTCATTGCCCGTGTTGATCACACGCAGTTTGTGCTGCGAGTGCCGTGCCATCTCCACGGCTGGATTACCAGTAGCTCAGTGGTGCCAGGAGTTCAGCGCTTCTATCAGCTTTAAGGGTCGTGAATGTTTGAAACTCTCCTATGCCGTGTCATTGCCCGTGTTGATCACACGCAGTTTGTGCTGCGAGTGCCGTGCCATCTTCTTCGTAAATATATACCCATTTAGATGAAGCCATGCCGTATACTTCTACACACATTAGAAAGTAGAATTGTTAATATTGAAGCTC